CCTGTGCCCTGACCGGGAATCAAACTGTGACCTCCTGGTTCATAGGTCGATGCTCAACCACTGAGTCACGCCCGCCAGGCCCTCCTGCAGTTTCCGATTTCCATTCGTGAAGTTAGTCTGTGCATTTATATTTAAATAATGAGCTGCTGTTCCTGAGTCCTGGCTATTGCAATTCTGGGAGCATTTTCTTGTCCTGTGTCTGTGTGTGTGCATATATATATACTAGAGGCCTGTTGCACGAAGATTTGCACAATAGGCCTTCCTTCCCCTGGCTGCCGGCACCGGTTTCCCTCCGGTACCTGGGACCCAGGCCTTTGGTCGGGCCACAGCGGAAAAGCCAAGCCTCTTCAGTCTTCAGTCTTCAGTCTTCACTTGGCCGGAGCCTTCAGTCTTCGCTCCGCGCCTGTGTATGCACATTAACCCGCCATCTTTGTTGGGTTAATTTGCATACTCATCCTGATTGACTGGTGGGTGTAGCGGAGTGACGACCAATTTACATATTTCTCTTTTATTAGTGTAGATGTGTGTGTTTGTGCGTGTGCATAATTATGTTTCTGTGAGTGTCTGCTGCTCATGTCTTTGATATACGTGAGCCTTTACTCTGAGGAGAGCCATGACAATGAACCCATCCGACTCTCTTCCATTTCAGTTCATCGACGGGCGGCTGGCGAAGCTGAACGCAGGAAAGGGCTTCTCCGACGCCTTCGAGGAGGAGATCACCTCCGGGGGCTTTTCTGGAGGTAAAGACGACGTCCCGGGCGAGGACCCGTCTTCCAGAGGATCCGTCTGCCCTGTGTCTGGCAGCAGCGGCGTGATGCCCCGCTGTTCCCCCCTGAACGGGTGATGTGTCAGAGGCATCTCAGAGGGGCCGCCCCATCCATCCACTTCCTTTGCCTGTTCCCGTGACTCGCGGCATTGGGGTGGAGGGGCTCCCGAAGGGGTGATGGTTTGGGTCACCGCCCGCTATTTCTGGACATAAACTCACAGAGAGGCAGGCGCTGGCCTCTCCCTGCCCGTCCTCCGGGCTAGCGCTGTCTGCTCGGACGTACGAGGGATGCTACTGCCCAGGGAGCAGGCCACAGACAGGGTACATGGCCGTGCCCTCTGAAAAGAGAGGTTGGAACGCCACGTAGCTTCTAGATTGCTCAGTGAGTCGATTTTGTAGAGGTTTTGACCTTCTTTTGTTGTTGTTCATCCTCACCCGAGGATCTTTTCCCATGGATTTTTTTTTTCCAGAGAGAGTGGTAGAGAAGGGGAGAGACAGAGAGAGAGAAACATCTATGTGAGAGATGTCAGCACCGATGGGTTGCCTCCCGCGCACATCCGTCCTGACCAGGGTCAGGGATGGAGCCTGCAACCTAGGGACGTGCTCTTGACCGGACTTGAACCCGGGACCCTTCAGTCCGCAGGCTGACGCTCTATGCACTGAGCCACACGGGCCAGGGCTCATCATTGATGTTTCTCGCTCTCTGTCCCTCTCCCTTCCTCTCTGAAATGGATAAAAATATGTTTTTAAAGAAGACGTGAAAAGACAAATAGCACTCTTCTAAAGATGCCCCCACGTTGAATTTTACTCTTAAATGAGATCTAGTTATGCAGCATGGAAACAGAAAAGCCATCGCCGCCATCTATCCGTTCGTTAAAGTCATAAAGGGAGCCCGGCGCGGTGGGCCTTGGCCCGAAGGAAGCACAGAATTTCCCTGGAAGCACTTATTTTTTGGGGAAAACTTAGCAGAATTGACTCTGCAGGTGCCGAACCCGGAGCCCCCCACCTCCCTGCTCCCCTCAGCTCACTGGGAGGAATTTAGCTTCAATGGGACTTTTGTGTTAAAATAAGAATTTTTTTTTTTTATACTTTTCACCTCAGACAAGCAAAGCATTGTCAGCTCCTGGACAAATTGCTGGAGGCATCAATTGGGTATTTACATAACTGCCGTCTCATTATCTCTGTGACCCGTGGGGCTGGCGGCACCCCTGGGAGGAAGGTGACATGGGTGACAGTAATAGGGTGTGAGCCTTTCATGTGGATGGATTGTGAGCGGGTCCCCATTCCAGGCGATGGAGCGGGGCCAGGTGGCTTTGGTGGCTTCTCCAAGGGAGGGGCGGTCCCTACCGATGTCACTGTCGGTCTTATTGTTTCAAAAAAAGAATGGGGGGATAGCGGTCCCCAGCGGGCACCTGACTTGGGGACTGCATTTTCAGTACGACTTCATGCCAACCACGTTCTTGAAAAACGCAAAGGGTTTTGGATTCTTCTTTTTTTTGATCTATTTTTTTTTTTAAATTGATTTCAGAGAGGAAGGGAGAAGGAGAGAGATAGAAACATCAGTGATGAGAGAGAATCATGGATCGGCTGCCTCCTGTGCCCCCCACCCTGGGGATCGGCCTGCAACCCGGGCATGTGCCCTTGACCGGGGATCGAGCTGTGACCTCCCGGTTCAGAGGTCGACGCTCAGCCACTGAGCCACGCCGGCCGGGCAGTCCTGTTTCCCGTCTTACTGACGAAGGTAGTGGAGGAATTTGAAGGGGCGGTAACTAATCATCAGTTTTAGTGTCATTTTTTTGGCCGCACCGAGCAATTTAGACCAATTTACATGTTTGGGGATAAGACGCTACAAATGACTGGAATTTAAACAAGTACATAGGAGAGACAGGCTTGGTGCAGACCAGAGAGAGATTCTGTCCTTGAGGGTGAGAAAAATCGCTGTTTTGATGAACAAGAACAATGTGAAGAATTTTCTCAAAAAATGCTGATTCTTCCCATAATCCTGTTACTCGAACAGAAGGTCTTAGGGATTTTTTTTCCCCTTCTTTTTTCTTTCATTTTTGGCATTCAGATGCATTTTTTAAGGAGAAAAACAGCCTTTAAAAAAGAACATTTTCAAAGAATAATGTGCTTGTCTCTTCAATTTTGTGCTAATAGGAGCCTAGGATCTTAAAAGCATGAAATTTAAAGAGACAAGCATCCTTTAGACATTTAAAAAAAAAAAACACACAACAGGTTTCTACCTAAATTATACAGCATGTTTTCCTATCATCTTAGGCAGTTTTCTTAGGGACTTCTAGTTTGCCCTGCGCCACATAATTCCAGATTCTTTTTTTAAAAAAAATGTATTTTTATTGATTTCAGAGAGGAAGGGAGAGGCAGAGAGAGAGAGAGAAACATCCGTGATGAGAGAGAATCACGGATCGGCTGCCTCCTGCACCCCCCATACAGGGGACCGACTGAGCTGGCAACCGGGGCACGTGCCCCGACCGGGGAATTGAACGGTGACCCCCTGGTTCATAGGTCGACGCTCAACCCACTGAGCGACACCAGCTGGGCCCAATTTTAGAGTTGAAAAGTACAACTCCAATAATGTCACGGAGGTAAAAAACAAAATTTGAGAACAAAATTGGAAAGGGCTGAATGTGAGCTATAGATAGAATGTTATTTGTGTCAATTTTGTCTCCATTTTAAAAAGATGAACTGTTTTAGGGATTCTGTGAACCAGATACTCGCTGGGTAGCTAGGTCTTGGGGATTTTTTTTCCTTCTTTTTTTCTTTCATTTTTGGCATTCAGATGCATTTTTTAAGGAGAAAAACAGCCTTTAAAAAAGAACATTTTCAAAGAATAATGTGCTTGTCTCTTCAATTTTGTGCTAATAGGAGCCTAGGATCTTAAAAGCATGAAATTTAAAGAGACAAGCATCCTTTAGACATTTAAAAAAAAAAAACACACAACAGGTTTCTACCTAAATTATACAGCATGTTTTCCTATCATCTTAGGCAGTTTTCTTAGGGACTTCTAGTTTGCCCTGTGCCACATAATTCCAGATTCTTTTTTTAAAAAAAATGTGTTTTTATTGATTTCAGAGAGGAAGGGAGAGGCAGAGAGAGAGATAGAAACATCAGTGATGAGATCTCTGTTCCTCTCTGAAATCAATAAAAAATATATTTGAAAAAATTAAACAACCAGGAAGGCCGATGAAATCTGACTCAGTCAGTTGCTATAGGGCATGCCTTCTGGTGAGCGGTGGGGCTTCTGATATCCTTTTACCGACTAAATGGCCATCTTTGGAGCCGGATATGCGATCACTGGTGTTATTAGGACTGGATTTGTCTGCCTCTGAGCTTTCCAGTGACTGTGATGACCAGCGGCCTAAAAGCCACCTCCTGGCGTGAATCTCTCACACTTGGGTTCTCAGCTAGAGACTGTTTTCCAACGGGAGCCGCAGTTGAATTGCATTGAAATCAAATTTGTTGTCCATGAAAATTCATATCGAACATCCATAGAGAATCTTTTTTGTTCTCAATGTCCTCTGCATTTCTCAATTTGCTTATAGTTTTTTTTTTTTTTATCTTATCCACTTGAAATATTATCTCAAAACGAACCTGATTGTGTTAAAGAGGCAGAAAAAAAAAGGTAAAAGAGACACAAAACATTGAAAAATCAGTTTTTAAAAGATGCGGACATCTTGGCTTTCGAAAGAGAGATGGTATTTTTCCCTCTCTGAAGACACTATTAAAAAATGAAAGACGGCAGCATATTTTAACGTCTTGGCCTCATCTGTGAGTGAAGAAAACGTGTCTGTGCTTAAAAATGGTGATTATTGTTCGAAGAATTAGAACAGTTTATTCTTTCTCATGGCATTTCATGGCTGCTTCCACCCACCGCATTGCAGAAAAGTAAAAGTTGCTTCCTAAATTCCTGGCAGTACTCATTCTTGATAAATTTTGGTCTGTGGATTTATTTCTGGTCAAATATTCCTGACATCTTATTTTCGCCTCTTCCAGGGAGCCCGAGGTCGTATCAGCAATGGGTACATACGGTCAAGGTAATGATAGCCTTCCAGAATTTCTTCTCCTTCCACTCTCTATCTATGGGTTAGGTAGGTTCAGCCAAAGTATGCAGTGTATTGGCGGTCTTTTCAATGTGTTTGTTCTCACATTTAAACATCTTTGTTTCATGCTTATAGCTTGCTTGTATTTATGAATACGATTTCCAATGGAATGCTTTTGTCCGGAGAGAGATGGCTTCTTTTGAAAAAGCAAGATTTCACTGCCACCTTGAATTCTATTCCAAAACAGGGAATTGGGTGGAATAGTGAGATTTGGGGGGGACTTTTTCCCTTTCCGGTACAGTTTTTTTTGTTAATACGGTTTTTTCAAATATATAAAGCCCCTCTTCCACAAATCGAGACTTTATTGCCCAACCTGAAAACAGTCGGATTTCTTTTTTATGGCGCTTTAAATATACACCTGTTACTGGCCGTATCGCTGCAGTAGGCTTCACCTTCCAAGGTGAGCCCCGCTGGCGTGGCTCAGTGGTTGAGCGTCGACCTATGAACCAGGAGGTCACGGTTCGATTCCCGGCCAAGGGCACAGGCCTGGGTTGCGGGCTCGATCCCCAGTGTGGGGCGTGCAGCAGGCAGCCATGAGTCTCTCTCATCGTTGCTGTTTTGTAGGCCTTCGTTTAACCTGTGACTAAAGCTTTTTTTCTACCCTATCACCCGTGGTTGTTTCCAGGGCCATCTGGTTGACCGTATTTGGAAATGAGTGTCTGTGTTTCCTTTGCAGAAAGGAGGCGCCCTGTTCAACTCCGCGATGACCCGAGCGACCCCCGCGGTGCGGACGGCGTATAAATACGTGAGTCTTCATCGGATACTTAAAAACCCCACCGGTAAAATTTTACGGCATGGTTTTAGCCGAGAGACCTGTCAGTCTCGAATGTTCCCTACTTTCCTTTGAAATACCATGGTCAAAAATCAGAAATAACACTGAACAAAAGAAATCCAAGTGCTCGAATGGTGTCATTATATAGGGAGGATATCTATAATAATAAAAGGGTCATATGCTAATTAGACCGGACGTCATTCCGGACGTCCTTCCTGACGAAAGCTGGGGCTGGAGGGAAGCCAGCCGGGTCCCAGGTGCTTACAGGTAGCCCGGGGAAAGCCAGCCTGGATCCTGGGTGCTGGAGGGAAGCTGGTGCCGGCAGCCAGGGGAAGAAGGCCTACTCTTGCATGAATTTTCGTGCACCAGACCTCTAGTTTTATTTATAAAAGCTAACAATGGCTCCTCATTGTTTTATTTTTAAACATATTTGTATTGATTTCAGAGAGGAAGGAGAGGGAGAGAGAGATAGAAACATCAGTGGTGACAGAGAATCATGGATCGGCTGCCTCCTGCGCACCCCACACTGGGGATCGAGCCCACAACCCACCCAGGCATGTGCCCTGACCGGGAATCAAACCCAGTCTGCAGGCTGATGCTCTATCCACTGAGCCAAACCGGCCAGGGCTTGGGGACTCGTTCTTCAAGTGGTAAAAGGAGCGTTCTGAGCCCGACACTCGTATTCTTGTTTTCCAGGCAAAAAGCCACGCCAAGCAGGGCATCAAGGAAGTGAAGAGCAAGCTCAAACACAAGGTAGGCCTCCTCCTCCCGCTTGCGAAAGGTTGGCGCTCAGACCTCGCAGATCGCACGGGATGTGTGCTTTTAATGACTTTTGAAGTGTGCTTAGCCCTGTGTTCGGGAATGGATTTTTCATAACAAGCCCCCTGGAAACCGCCTGCCTGTGTGCGCCCACGGAGCCATCTCTTTATCGCTTGCATATTTTATCACAGGGCTCCGGAGATCTTCAAAGATGCTCTAACAGGATGTGTTGTTCCCATAAAGTTCATGGCCTTGATATATCTATCCCTCCCAAAATGCTTTGCTGCAAGCCGATCATTTTTTATGTATTTAAAAAAAATTTGTTTTAAGTAGATATTTTTATTGATTTCAGAAAGGAAGGGACAGGCAGAGAGGGAGAGAAACATGAATGATGAGAGGGAGTCATCGATTGGCTGCCTCTTGCCCACCCCCTACTGGGGATCGAGCCTGCAACCCGGGCATGTGCCTTGACCGGGAATCAAACCATGACCTCCTGGTTCATAGGTCGATGCTCAACCACTGAGCCACGCCAGCCGGCTGGGTGAAGCTAATGATTTTTTTAAAAGAAGATGATTTGGGGTGCAGAATTAAGCCATGAATGCCCTCCTTTGGTCTATGACAGCGGTTCTCAACCTGTGGGTCGCGACCCCTTTGGGGGTCGAACGACCCTTTCACAGGGGTCGCCTAAGACCATCGGAAAACACATATTGAATATATAATTACGTATTGTGTTTGTGATTGATCACTTACGCTTTAATGATGTTCAATTTGTAACAATGAAAATACATCCTGCATATCAGATATTTGCATGACGATTCATGACAGTAGCAAAATTACAGTTATGAAGTAGCAGCGAAAATAATTTTATGGTTGGGGGTCCCCACAAGATGAGGAGCTGTATTAAAGGGTCGTGGCATGAGGAAGGTTGAGAACCACTGGTCTATGAGCTCTTTCCAATAGTAGCTGCTTTACACTACGCTTGTCCTTCTTTGAAAAAGGTTTGTGTTTGAGGGTGTGTACTGGACTCTGTGAACATCGCATGTATGTGCATATCTATGCGTCTGTGTGTATGTCTGTTTGATTTGATTACATATTACATCTCGGCTGATTTTCTTATCGGTTGTTCTGTTTTGAAATTGTACCTTTGGAGACCAATAATCCCACTCAGAACTTTCATGGTCGCGACGGAGGGTGAATGATCCTCGTACGCGTTTGACTCAAATTACTCAAAATAGAGATTATTCTGGAAATTGTTCATTCACGACACAGAAAAATGCAGGGGGTCCTATTTTTCTAACTAGAGCCTTTACGCCTGCAGCCCGGGTGTTGTTTTGTTATTTACGTCTGTGTTGGACAGATACTTGGTTGAGGAACCCAAGAGCATCTGCCAGTCATCCGAGCAGCGTTCTGACATCACTCCTCGTCTCTCTCCCACGTGCAGGAGACTGAGGACGACTGTGGGGCCTACTCCGGTTTCGTACAGTACACCCCGGTCTACACCCTACACAACCACAAGGGGCCAAGCCGGGAGAAGCGCAAGCTCACCCAGGTACGGCTGCCCGCCCGCGGGCCTCCAGGAGGGGGCGTGCGGGAGGCAGCAATCCATGTTTCTTCTCTTTCCTTCTCCCTTCCTCTCTCTCTCTAAAAAAAAAAATTATAAATTATAAACTATATTTAAATAACTAGTTAACAGTGTTAAATAATAATAATAATAATGATGATGATGATGATTCCGCCAGTGAGGCAACCTGTTCTACCCACTGCCATCAGCTGGGAAACATTTATAGTGGGGCCTTGACTTAGGAGTTTAATTCGTTCCGAGACCGAGCTCGTTAAGGAGCTCGTTATTCTGAGACTGAGCTCGTTAAGGAGCTCGTTAACTCAAATTACTCTGTCAACTCAATGCAAAAAATCTCCGAGAGACCGCTGGTATCTCAAAAAACTCGTTAGTCTGGACACTCGTAAGTCAAGGCCCCAGTGTACTCACTCGTAAACGACTGATGGGTTTGTAATCGGCGTCTCAGTCTTGCTCCCAGGATGTTCAGTTCCTATCCGTCTCAGGCTCTCGCCTCTTATAAAGTTAACTTTCGCAGAAGATGGGCTGCCTCGATATGGGAGCCTGTGGGTTGTATTTACCGCGGGGAACGGGTTTCTATGTGAAGAGGAGGGGTTCTCTTACCCCCGTCTCCCCGAGTGGAATAACATCAGGGTCTGGGCACGTTGAGATCTTCAGGGAGGTAGGGGAGCATTTCTCCGGACAAATGCAGGTGGCGAAAGGCGGAATCTAGAATCAGCAAACTCTCAGGGAAGGAGGGGTCCCGGTGCCCACGTGTCTGCAGGTGGTACACAGAGCAGCAGGGGTGGAACGGGGGACAGAACTGGGACCCGGGTTCCGAAGCCGCTGCCTGGCCTTTGCGTTGGGAGGAGTCAGGCGGGGCCCTGAGGGACCAGGCTGTGGGGTTCCGAGCCAGACACCCCTGACTTTGAAGAAGGTCCTAGCCTTTGGCACTGAGCAGAACACAGCGTCCCCGAGCCTTGCTTCGGGCGCCTGGGAGATGGGGATGACAACCCCTGTCATTTCCCAGGGTGCCGCCGGCATTAGAGAGAGTGTGTGCGCGAGGTGGCGGCCACAGGCGCTCACGACTCGGCAGCCGTCTGTGTACACAGACACACACGTGTCCTTAGCTTCTGGCCGCCCATAGCCACGCATCTGCTCGCTGTCTTCCCTCCCGGTAGCCACTTCCCAGCGTCACAATAACCTTCCAGTCACTAACGTCACGGGGCCCTAACGGTGTCTGTTTCCATTTAAGTAGGAATGACTTGAAGACCCCAGGTTATGATTTGAAAAGACATATACAGTTCGTGCCCAACCGGCGTGGCTCTGTGGTTGAGCATCAGCCTAGGAACCAGGAGGTCACGGTCCGATTCCCGGTCAGGGCACATGCCTGGGTTTGGGGCTCGATCCCCAGTGTGGGGCGTGCAGGAGGCAGCGATCCATGATTCTCTCTCATCATGGATGTTTCTATCTCTCTTTCTCCCTCTCCCTTCCTCTCTGGAATCAATACAAACACATTGAGACCAAAAAAATATATATCTATATACAGCTCTTGTACCAAGAAACATCTTGGCCTGGCAGACCTTGAGGATGTGTTTTGTTGTCAGTGAAATTATCGAAATAAAGGATCTGGACTCGCCCGTTCGCCTGCCCCGTGCGCCCCGGGCCTCAGCTCCGGGAAGAGCCTTCCACCCCCAGTTTGCAGCCGGAGTCGTGTCGCTGAAGCACTTAATTTTCATCTGTTCTGCAGAGGATGTGAACGAGATGATGGTGATTGTTGACATTCCGAGGGTGTGCTTAGAAGCGAAAAAGGCACGTTTCCCCACCTGGGTCCCGTGGACGAGAATGGACCGACCCCCGGACTGTGTGGGCTCCGAGCCCGCGTGCGTGACTCGCTCGTGGCCGGAACCGATTGTGCATCTCCTCCCCCCGGCCCGTGGGAACCGCGTGGGGAGGTGCCGATGGGCCTGGCTGGTTCCCGTTTCCTTGATGAGGCTGCGCAGCATGTCCGGGGGACAGCTCCCAATTAGCGCTGCATCTGTACAGCCCAGGCCTGGCCCCTTCGGTGCGGGGTTGGCCGCGGCCCCAGGCTAACGAGGCCCCGGGGAGGGGGTCCCTCGTGTCCTGGCAGCCACCGCCGGTGGGTCCAGTGAGGATCCGAGCTGCACTTTGGTTTTAATCTGGGCCACACACGGGCCTTCTCTCGTCCATGTGATGGCAGAACAAGACCCTGTAGGCTTCGCGGGCGATGTTTGGACGACGTCTGTCCTCTACGATGCTGCCCTGCAGAAACCGAGGGGCATTTTCCAAGGATGAGAAATCCCTTGAAAGGATACATTGAATGTGTGTGCATCGAAGAGACGGCTGCATTTGTAATCATAGTAGCCTTAGTCCAGTAATTGTGTGTGTGTGTGTGTGTGTGTGTGTGCGTGCATCTCTCTCTCTCTCTCTCTCTCTCTCTCTCTCTCTCTCTCTCTCTCTCACACACACACACACACACACACAGCAGCAGCAGCAGCAGGACGGGTGCACCGTAGGCGGGAGCTTAGCTGTGCTGCACGTCAACATTAGCAGATGGATGGCCCCAAGCAAACCAAACACGGCACGCACCCCCATCCCCTGCGAGGGCAGGGCTGGGCTCTTTGTTGTGAGGCCCTCGGAAACCCTGGCAGGCGTCGCTCTTAACTCCTTCACGGCTGGGCCCCAGAGCCGTCCGCCCGGTTTCTTTCCAACCCGTCCAGCTAATTGTGCCGAAGCTGCACAGACAGTGTAGAGCGGGGGTCCTCAAACTACAGCCCGCGGGCCACATGCAAATGCAAATATTGTATTTGTTCCCGTTTTGTTTTTTTACTTCAAAATAAGATACGTGCAGTGTGCATAGGAATTTGTTCATAGTTTTCTTTTTAAACTATAGTCCGGCCCTCCAACCGTCTGAGGGACAGTGAACTGGCCCCCTGTTTAAAAAGTTTGAGGACCCCTGATGTAGAGGAAGGCTATTTCTCCCCGTGAACCATGACAGAAAGGGGGGTGTCCCTGTGGGTGAACAGCACCCCCCCCCTGGAATGCAGTCAGGACTCTCACCCACACGCAGTGTGTACAAGTGGACGTGTGTTTAATAGCTGTAGTTTCCACGAATATAATGCCACGTACTGTTCTATGTTTATATTTTAAAAATATATTTCTTTATTGATTTCAGAGAGGAAGGGAGAGGGAGAGAGAGAGATAGAAAATCAATGATGAGAGAGAATCATTGATCGGCTGCCTCCTGCACGCCCCCTACTGGGGATCGAGCCTGCAACCCAGCCATGTGCCCTTGGCCGGAATCGAACCTAGGCCCCTTCAGTCCGCAGGCCGATGCTCTATCCACTGAGCCAAGCCGGCCGGGGCATTTGTTCTATTTTTAAGGGTCTTTACGTCGAGGCTCGTGGTTTGAGATACGAGTAGTTTCCTCTCCAGTGTATACAGAGGGGAGATGTGTGCACTAGCAGGTACCATTTGGTGATGTTCCCTGTTCTACCCATCGTGCGAGGTGTTATGCACACCTCGGAGGAAACTTGGCTTCCTTTTTGGGTCCTTATGACTTCATTGGTGGATACATCCTGCTCCTGGATTGGCGGGATATGGCACACGCTCATTTGATAGCGGATGAGCCGTAATTTCACCTGTAAGGAAGGTGCGTGGAGGCCCCATGTGCCTGTTTGGCAAGGAAACACTTGCGAGCCGGGCATTTCAAAGCCCCCTTCTTGGTTGAAGGGGGACCAGAAAGAATCCCAGGACGGAAGCCTGTCTTTAAAAATAGAAGCAAGCAGGTGGCTGACGTCGTACAGATAATGAATCTTGTATCTTAATGCACAACACGGAGGACAGTAACTTCCTGTGAAATTTCTAGGAAAACACAGACGCATGCTCTCAATTATCGAGCTCCCAAATTGGCCCACTCGTGCCTCGTAGGCTGTGGATGACAGTCTCGTATTTAGGACACACGTTCCTTCATTGGAATTCAGCGGACGCCGGGAATAAAATGAATGTGATTATAGGTTGCGTTTCCCGCTCAGGTGACTTAATAGATTCCAGAACATGGCAAGCACGGCCCGTTGCATAGCGTTGCTTTATTGGTCAAGAAAGAAATGGCTCGGCCATTGGTTTGGAAGTAGCCAGTCGCTCTTCCGACCAAGGAAAAGCGATTGTCAGTCACCAGGAGAAAGATCACCTGTGTGTAGGAAGGAGGCGGCCCAGGTCATTGGAACGAATGCTTCTTATACATTTTGCAAAATTAAAAGAAAAAAATGTTTAACCGAATCGTGATAAGTAAAAAAAACACCTGTTGTTGTTGTTTTTTTAATTTAAATTTTTAGCACTTTGTTTAATTTGACTCGGTAGTGAGAGTACTGTTATGATCAAGCTGAAATGTTGAGTGAAGGTGATCAGGAAATCTATTCGCAAGTTCTAAATGATAAAAAAATTTTTGAAATGTTTTATGTATGTTCCCATTTAAAGACGCAGAAAAATTATTGTCTGAATTTTCTAAACACCTTTTAGCATCTCTGTACCAAAATCACTCTTTCCATAGCATATATTGTCTAATTTATGCTAATGTCACTAATTTTTAAATTTGAGCTTTTAAGGCCAATATTGAACAGTATTGGTGCCACATTGTTAATTTTAAAGAAAGTTATTTTCCCGTTTTTTTAATTGTTGAAATAATATTAATTTCCAGCATGTCACATACGATTGTAGTCCAACTTGTGCTCCATAGCTCCCTCCCCAACATCCAGTTATGGTTACAAGGCTGCCCTCTAGTGGGCATGAGATAATACTCCCTTTCCTTGAAAGATGTTGGTTGTGCAAGACAAAATTTATAATGATAAAATTTACCTTTCAGGGTAGTCTTTTTAAAACATGTTTAATTTACTATTTATTTTTCTAAATATTGATGTCAGAAAGGAAGGGAGAGGAATATAGAAACATCAACGATGAGAGAGAATCGTTGATCGGCCGCCTCCTGCACGCCCCACACTGGGGATCAAGCCCACAACCCGGGCCTGTGCCCTGACGGGGAATCGAACCGTGACCTCCTGGTTCCTAGGTCGACGCTCACGCCACGCCGGCCGGGCTAATAGAACCTCATCATAATCTGAACTGGATTGATGTCTCCTGCACCTTGCTATAGTTCCCACCTACAAAAATGACGACAGGCGTGCTTTTAAAGCTCTTTTCCGATTCCGAACCGCATGCGTTTTTTTAAGGTTGTTGCCATTATAATTCCGTGGAGTTCTAAAGTTTATTCTCACGTTATTTCATGCAAGTCCGAGCATCCAGAATGCATGAGCTCGGGGGTTTGCTGTGGAGTCTGGGTAGGCAAGGTAACACTTCAGAGCCCAACTCTAAAATGCGGACAGTAGCATAGAGAACCTGCCTTCAAACACATCACATGTCACAGCATCTTAATTTTATAAAGTCTAAACAACCATATTTGCCCATTCCTCTGCCTATATCCCTCAGCCCCCCCCTCCGCCCC